TTTCGTTGTATTAACCCTTATTTTTTTTACGCGCATCATTATCACGATACACTGTGAAATTGACTATTTTTTGTTCGGCTAGAGGCATCCGCCGTGAAAAACCGTACGGTAAATGATGAGAAGGAATAGTAATTAACAGGAGGATGAGTTTTTTTTTTTTAGCATTTGGCATGGCCAGAAATAATTGATCGACGACGATGTTTTCATGGTTGGCAAGAATTTATGGGAAAAGTGTCAAAAAGTCCTAAACTTATTGCATTTGTGGCTATTTAGTCCTAAATCTTTTTTTTTGTACAAATTTAGTCTTACATTTTTTGATATAGTGTCAATTCAGTCCTTCCGGCTAATTTTGGTGGGATGTTACTGACGTGGATGTTGGGCGGCTTATGTGGCACGGGGCGGTACTAACGTGGATAACTTTTAATAATATCTTTTGAATATTTTTTTTCTTTTCTTTTTCTTCTTTTTGGCATGGCCAGGGCCAGCAAGGCTTGCCCTCATTGGATGGCCGCGAGGGCGGCCTCGCGCTGGGCTAGCGAGGTTCGTCCTCATCGGATTTGGTGAGGGTCGAGCCTCGCTGGCCATGGGTGATGCCCAACCTCGCCAGCCATGGGTGAGGCCCGACCTCGCCAGATCCTGTAAGGGCTCGAGTCTCGTCGAATCTAGCAAGGTCGAGCCTCGCCCTCGCCAATGGCAGCAAGGTCGCGGCCTTTGACCTCGAGGCCTTTGGCGAGGACTCGAGCCTCGCCAGCCTAGCGCGAGGCCGTCCTCGTGGCCATTCGGTGAGGTCCGACAGCCGGCCGGAGGAAGAAGGGAGGAGAGGAAAAAAAATAAAAAGAAAGAAAAGAAAAGAAAAGAATTAAAATAATTCCAAAAAAATTAAAATATTATTAAAAGTTATCCATGTCAGCGCCGACCGTGCCATGTAAGCTGGCCGACGTCCATGTTAGTAATATCCCGCCAAAATTAGGCAGAATGACTGAATTGAGATTTTATCAAAAGGTTTATGATTAAATTAGCACCAAAAAAAGGTTTTAGACGAAATTGGTATCAATGCAATAGATTTAAGACTTTTCTAACCCTTTTCCCATAATTTCTTGCCTTGAAATTTTGTTGCTGCCTCTACATAATTTGCAACGACCATCGACCGAATCAGTAGTATCAACGAACCTAAGCATGGTTCGTACTGACCACCTTCGCTTGCCATGGGTCATAACCTTACGTGTATCATTACATCTTGTCCACACTAATGGAAAAAGCCCCGAAAATGCTCATTCAAGCTTCAGCGATCTGGGAGTAATTCGCACAGACTCCTCATTCGATTTGTAATTCAACAATTTGCTGTAATATATGGACATAGCTTTACGAATTAACCACTCTTTGTTCCACCAATCCCTTCGTTCTCCCAATAGAGTGGGATCTATGCAAGAAAGCCATTAATTTTTCTTCACTTTAATCGTAGATTGTTTGGTAGGCAGTACGACATCCTTGATCCTCCACGTGTCTCTGGTGTAATCGTGGATTGTTTGGTCACTGCAGAACTTGTATGATTCAGCCTGGTTCCAGATCGACATTGTTTTTTTTTTTTGGTCGGACAGATCGACATTGTTACATCATATAAGAAAGCTCTTATATGAGAAAGTTTAGACCCAAACGTGATAGGGGCGATCGGAAGATCTTGCTTGAAAGGTGTTTTAATATAGATCGACAAGCAAGAGATTAAGTTAAAGAGAAAGACACTAAAGCACGAATGAGTTAAAAAATATATTTTTTAAATGATCGTTTGTATTACTTACAAGAATAAATGAATGTAAAAATATTTCCATTATTCACGAAAATATTTCGATATAAATTATTTTCGACAATGAAAACTTTTTTATTAATTAATTATTTCAAGTGATATAGGCGATTAATTTTAATGAAATGTTTTGAAAATTATTCATTTTCTGTGAAACAAACGGAGTTTAAAAGTGCCATAACTTTCGTATAGCGTTTATTTCAGTATCAAAACTTTTCCAGTGATCACTTGTGTAGCACATTGATGAAAAATGATCACTTAAGTGCTTCTAGCGACAAATTTTAGCGATTTGTCCTACGTGGTTTTTTCTAATGAAATTTTAACTCTGCACGCTTTCTCAACAAAAATAATCAGGGAGGTGGCGTGAGACCTCGAGGAGAACTATGACATGCTGGACCTGAATTGGAAGGTGGGCAGCGATGAAGGCCTGGGTCGATTCCTGGAGGTGATGATCACGAACAGATGTTTCATGCCTGACATCATGAGGACCATGCTGCAGTCGATGGACGACATACGCGTCCAACGACCCCATCGTCAGTAAACACGGGAAGCTTTACATAATACCTCTCCCCTTGGTCTATTTCAAGAATCGCATTGAACTAGAACACCAATCACTCAATTCTTGATGGCCAACATGTCTTGACGTCATGGATGGGGACAATAACATTGTACGAAGCTTAAACCACGAGACAGGAAAATCTCACGCTGTGTTTGGGAGAAAGGGCAAAAGAAAATCGAGGTCGAGGATGTCGACAAGTTAAATTATTTAGGATTAATACCATAAAAAATCTTAAATTTATACACTTATGACAAATTTACTTCAAACTAATTTTTTAACCATCAAAAACCCCAAACTAATACATCTGTAACAAATTTACCCTCCGTTAGTTTCTGTTAAATTTTTCCGTTAAATCGTTGAGTTGGATGACACGTGACAGTTGACGGGTATACCAGTTTTGGGTTTTACCCCTCTGTTTGTCACATGTTTACCATTTTGTGATTTTTTGTGGTATTAATCCAATTTAACAAAGGATAAATTTATCATAAGTGTACCAGTTTGGAGTTTTTAGTGATAAAAAAATTAGTTTGGAGTAAATTTGTTACAAATCTACCAGTTTAGGATTTTGGGTGGTCAACAAATTAATTTGGGGTAAATTTATCACAAATATACTAATTTGGGATTTTTTTGGGTATTAACCAATTATTTATAATATGGAAATATTACAGTTCTCAATTTTTCCCTCAAATTTTCTCGCCCCTCCGTTTTCTCTCCTTTTTTTTTACAAGCACATCATGCTAACATAGCAGACCATTTACAGATTTAGGGACTACTCATGCCAAAAGTCCTTAATGTATGGGCGCTTTTCTGAACTTACTAACTATTTTTCGGACTGCGAATCCTGGGTTTGATGTCTGGTATATCGAGTGAGTCGATATTTTGCCAGCATTCAATCTTATAATGTTCTTATCACACGTACAGCACAGTTACTCAGAAACTTTGCTTGATACGGAGGCGAGAGAGAGAAAGATGCCTGTATTTTGTTGGGCTTGAACCACAAGGACAAATCCTAAAGCTAAAGGAGCAAGCAAAGAAAACGAGAAAGCTGTAGTTGATCTTAGTGGCTATGGCCCAGTATATTTCATTGCTACTAAGTATTTTGTTTCATCGTTTTCCTTTTGTGCACTTTATATTCATATAGAAAAACAGTTTCCACCAATGACGGTAATTAGGATTTTGATATATCTGGAGAACATGATCGTAAGTTCCATGAATTTGAATCCAACTCCACATAAATCCTAACGTGATTTGGAAGGCATATGCAGGATTGACTCGTATTCAGACGACAATTATGGGAAATTAGTCTCTTCTTCTATGGGAAACATTAAGAGAATAACCCCATCTTCACTTCATAGTTGACTGAGTCCTCGCTACAGTACAAGAAGACCAAGACTTGCAGCTGGGTCTTCGTCCGCATATGTGTCCAAGTCAAGTACCGCAATTAATGTCAATAGACAGCTTTTCATTGATGACAGATGGACATTGGTAAATTCGAAAACGATACATCATGTCACGCGCTAATTTGTTTATTACAATAGGTCGTGAAATTATCTTCTTCTTCTATTCGGCTAGAGGCATCCGCCATGAAAATCAATCCAGTAAATTATGATAAGGATGAGTTTTGACTCATATTTTCAGCATTTGGCATGGCCAGAAACAATTGATCGAAGATGATATTTACATGGTGGACAAGAATTTCTAGCTTCGAAATTTCGTTGCTACCAATGACCACCGCACAAATCATCGATATCAAAGAAAATTACCAATGGTTCGGACCGATCACCTTCGCTTGCCATGCATCTATCACCTTACACATATCATTGTTTCTTGTTCACACTAATTGAAAAAGGCCCGAAAATGCTCATTCAGGATAGAGGTAAGACATAGTTTTGCAATAAAAGTGATTTCGAGTTAAAGAGGGATAAATCGATCCTATGGGACAATAGGCTACTATCAAAAGGTCGAGGCTTCAAATGTGAAATGAAGAGGACAATGGGGGTGAGGGAAAATTGTCCAAAAAATCCTAAATATATTGTACAACAGCCAATCAAATCCTAAATCTTTCAATTTTGCCAATACAATCCTAAATCTTTTAACAACTAGCAAATTTAGTCATAAACTTTTTAATTATTCTAATTTAATCCTAAATCTTTTAATGATTTGATAATTTAGTCATAAACCTTTTAACAAATTGTCAATGTAGTCATTCCGGTTAATTTTGATTGGACATTGCCAACATGGCGATCCGATCGGCGCCAGCCAACTTACATGGTGCGATCGGCGGTGACGTGGATAATTTTTTTTACTTTTTATAAATATTTCCAAAAAATTTATTATTTTATTGATTTTTTATTCTTTTTATTCTTTTCTTCTTCATTGAGCCTGCCACTAGCAAAAGGTTGAAGAAAATAAAAAGGAAAAGAAAGAAAAGAAAGAGAAAAAAAAGAAAAACAATTAAATTATTATTAAAAGTTATCTACGTTAACGCCGGTAGTATCACGTAGATCAGTCGACATCCACGTTAGCAATAAAGACTAAATTGGTACTGGGTCAAAAGATTTAAAACTAAATTGACACCATTAAAAGATTTATGACTAAATTAGCACAAATGAAATAGATTTAGGACATCCACGCTAGGTTCTGCTACCTAGCGAGAGGGACCTCGTTAGATGGGAGCTCCAAGGAGGTCATTTCAGAGTAACCACTTGATTTTTTGCTCACCAAAGACTCCAACTCTGCCAATACTTGATGTATATCCGGCCTTTGAATTGCCGTTGGTTGCGTACAAGACATGACAATCTCCACTAGTTTCCAAGCCGAGTTGAAGTCGAATTCTCCTTGTAGCCTTGGATCCATAATGCTCTGTATATCACCGCTTTCAACTATCGGAATCAACCATTCAAGTATGTGCATGCTGGCGCTGCCATCCCGACTTCTCATTACTGCGGGTCGGCCTGTGATCAACTCAGACAGTACGATTCCAAAACTATAAACATCGCTCTTCTTGTTAAAGTTTCCAGAAGAATGAATCCTGGGAGGAAAAAAAATACGGATCTTCATATCAAAGATGAATTCCTAGGCTATGTCAATATGTATATGCATATTGAGATCCTGAACTGAACCAGAACAGTAATATGAAGTTTTAGCCATTACTCAGGGTCGACGTAGCCAGGAGTGCCTGCAGGAAAAGTTGACACATGAGAGTCTTTTTCAGTCGCAAAAGCTCTAGACAGGCCAAAATCAGCTACTTTGGCTTGGAGTTCTTCGTTCAACAAGATGTTAGTAGTCTTCATGTCTCTGTGGATGATGGATGGCTTGCAACCATTGTGCAAATAATCCAAACCTGAAATCCTCGCAAAAAATGTGTAAAAACAACGCCAAAGCAATGATGGGAAAAAACCTACAACTGAGGATATCTCATTCGTGTACCTTGTGCTGCATCCACAGCAATTTGTAGTCTGTTACTCCATGTCAAGACCTTCGGATGGTCCCCTGTTGGATGCATCTTAACTTTACCTATGAGCAAGAAATAGAGTTTTACAGGATTATTTTAGAGAAGAAAACAATAGAAAAGAACATAAATACGCACCTGATAAATGTTGCCATAAATTTCCATTGGCCATGTATTCATATATTAATGCCATGTGCTTGGACTGATTGCAATATCCAAGCAGAGAAACCAAGTTTCTGTGGTGAAGAATCATTAAGAGCTGCGCCTGCAGCATAAAGAGTGTGCGTTACTATAACGAATACGGAGAAGAGTCGAAGAAGAAGTTTCTGAACGAACATCTGTGTAAGTGTCAGCATAAGTTGATTTTGATAGGAAACATGATTGCATCATCGTATCTAACCTCTGCTTGAAATTCCTTGTACCCTTGCCTTGATGATTCAGAAAGCATCTTCACAGCAACTGCGGTGCCATTATCTAGTGTACCAAGATATACCTTTCCAAATCCACCTTCACCAATCACTCGTCCAAAGTTCCCAGTGATTCTTGAAATCTCTCCATACTTAAAAGGTCGATTCTTTAATCTCAGCGTCCTTTCACTTGATTCTGTACCAAAAAGGTTCCTATGAGTATTGCGACTACCACTTTGGATAATAGACTTTCAACACAAATAACTCCAATTGCGTTTCAACAATTAAAAGACGTAGGAAAGGTTTTTCTGATCCCTTTTTAAGAGCTAAATTGGTGGAGAAGAGGACAAAAATCAAAAAATCTGGGCAAGGATTCTCTGTCACCTGCTTTCAATATGCTAACAAATAAATAATTTTTCTTTGATCAGTACATACAGATAAGTTTGAGATTGCACAATCAAACTTTCTTTTAGGGACCATCAGAATATTAAGGGGAAAGTTGTACTCTCAAGTTGTTATAAGTCCTCGTGCATGGCACGATTACTTTTGAAGAAAAAAAATCAGTGACTTTATTGTCAATAAGTTGAGCTGAACATCGCACATTCTCTTTGCGATGCTGATGCGACCATGCTGTGGTGATCCCTGTCTCTCTCTTGTCTTCATTTTCTTGTGATCACTATGAACTCATATTTCTAGCATTGCAAAATTTTGATTCAAGCCAACTTTCATTCATTCCTGATTGCAATGTCAATGAGATTGTAAAATGATACTCCTAGGGTGGGTGAGAAGAGAAAGAAAGCTGCTGAGTTGTATATTCTCAACTAAATTATCCTAGAAAAGACATTGTTGCAGATAGAACTGTACCAAAGGAATATCAAAGTCAAGATAGTCGTCAAATGTAGTGTAGATTGTCTGAACAGGACAAGTAAGAAAACTTACCTGCTATTTGTTTCCGTTTAATCAACCAGATAATAGCCGAAGCACCAAAGAGAACCACAAAGAAGCCGAAAACTGATGTTACAACTGGAACGAGGATGGTTTTTTGTTTCTTCTTCTGCGGGCAAGAATCAGCTAGGCACAGATTGGCATATTCTAAACTGCCACAAAGAATGAAGGAGTTGAACTCAAATTCCTATCTACAAATGTACAGATTGATTGGCCAAACTCTGTCACAAGTTGGCCTTCTTATTTGCTTTTAATCACATTAAATAAAACGTGCTGATAGTCTTTTCACCTATAAATGTCTCATGATAGAGAGAGAGAGAGACAGAGAGAGAGAGAGAGAGAGAGAGAGAGAGAGAGAGAGAGAACCTCATGTTTAAAGTATTGTCCACAATCCTTTTCTTGAGTGCTTCAGGAACTGTTTTAATCAGGTTGTTTCCACTTAAATTTCTACAAAAATAGCAATGATTAACGATTTGTCCGCTTGAAATCCTTTGCTGCTTCACTAAGACACATTAACTTACAGAAATGTAAGATTTGGTAAGTCTGCCAGAGTTTCTGGTATTGCTCCTGTAAGCTGATTGTTGGACAAATCTCTGGAAAAGAGTAAGTTTAGAACACCTAATATCAAGTTAACCAGCTACATAGCCAAAAGCAGGATGTTTCCACACACATTAGGGCAACATCTCAACAGCCTGTCTCCTAAACCACAACCTTAGTCATTAAATCATGAGTTGACTCCCATGGGGTGCTTAATCATGAGTGACGTGCAGACACAACTAATTCAACCACAGTGATACTTACAAGTATTCCAATCTTGATAGATGGGAAAGTGATGAGACTATGTCGCCCGTCAAATTGCTTGAGCTCAATTTCCTGATCATAATAAATCAAAGTAGAGGCTGTCATTGACATCTTTATAAAGGCAGCCATTTTGGGTACAACAACGAAAAGTTTGTGCAATCAATTATTCAGAACGAAAATATTTTAGGTCCCCCTGGTGTAAATGTTTTAGGAGGACCATTTACAATCGTCCATCTCATTCCTTGCATGGTTCTCCCTAACTCCTTGTTCTATATTTCGGGTTATTGTTGGTCTAGAGTACCTAAAAAATTATTTTCAGAGGACCTAATACTCGCTCATAAACGATGCAATTTGGAACACTGAAGTCTAAAATTGGAAACGTAGGCTATTGGTGAAAGAAGTTGCACGAACAACATAACTATACATCGGAGAAGGAGGGAGCATGTATTGCCGATTGATGAGCATATAGCTTGTCATGACCGACCCCTTCCAAATGGAGCAACCCCCCGATAAAATAATCAAGATGGTCACTTTTAGGGGGTAGGTGTCAACTTAAGATTTAGTTTATGAGCTCTCTCCAATACCATGTGAGGCTTAGGGTGTCAAAAGCTCCTTTTTTTAAAGCACTAAAGTTGCCATCATGCCCCCTTGAACTTGATAAAAGCATGATAAAGTTCTCAGTCTATATGAGAATTCACCCGGCAAGGTTACATTCATTCTAAGTGTTATCTCTTGTGGATACTAAAAACTTCCAGTTTTCATGACGAATGAGAATTTTTCTCAGGTTTCACCAAGAAAATCAGTATTATCTAAAAAATGGTGCCAGGGAACTTACAGCGATATAATCCTTGGAGGATTTTCATTGCTACAATTTAGACCATCCCATGCGTAATTGCTTGGTACGCACGGATCACCTTGCCAGCTTTCTCTCTTAATGTAATATGTTGCTTTGATGTCATTGATCGCTTTCACTGCGGCGTAAATCACAAAAAAGATTTATTATCTAAAGAGAATATCCAAAGAGAAGGATAGAGATGGAAAAAGTGGCTGCGATCACATGAGTTATGCAGGCTTTCAGTTTTTCAATGGACTCGTAACATTTCAGGGCTTCAATTTGAAGAGACTTTCCACCAATTGCCAAGCAAAAAGTAGCCAAAGCAGGGAATAAAGCACAAAGCAGAGTAACACTTAGCCACATCTGTCGATCCCACCAAAGCAACTATTGATCAGAGTTCACGAATAACATACGACCCACAGTGAAGACTAGAATATTTAGCATAGGATTGCCGAAATCCTACTTACTGACATTGGAATATCTGTCTAATTATTGTGGATGTCGGTTGGAGCGCAACTGTACAACGTGTATGTGTAATAACGATATCTTGGAAGAATAAAAGCGTACCATCATCTGGTGCTGTGGGTACATTTCGAAGATCACCAACAGTATAGAACTCCACGGCGTTGAGGATCGGCGGATTTCGAGACTTATTTGCTGAATCGATGAAGAAGGTGATGGACAACCCGTCAACCGGAGGGAAAACTACAACCACGGGCTTCAAGTATTCGAGGCTGACCGTCTCTGTGAACGGATTATCGATCATGGAAATCGTGAACTCCCTCCGGAGGCCGCTCGTCAGTCTCTCGATCTCGACGAAATGGAAGTACACAACCCAGTTCTTTCCAGATGCTGAAGGTGACCACTTTATTTCAAAGCGAGAACTGGCACTCCTTGTTGTTTGAGCGGTCCGAAGAACTTCCCCGGGAACCTTATACTTACCCGCATCATTATCGTCAGATGCATCAATGGCGGATGTGGTGTTTAGCATGAGTCCGAAATTATAGTTTTCAGGTGTCCAGATCCGATCGTAAGCATCGGCAGGGTACCTGTGTGAGGCATTTCCACAAACAATTTGACAGCAAACAACTAAGCAATGGCTGAGTGACTAGCGAATGCCAATTCAAATGGATTCGCAACAGAAATATTGAAGCTACTATATTCGACATATTACTAGTGAAAAAACCAATGCGTGCATTTAGTTATCATTAACAAGTGTCCGTAGAACACTTCATGAGTAGACATTGAGTTCAATTATATACTAGACATAGTATGCATTTTGTGCGGATTGTTGTACACATTTATAACAAAAACGTCTATAAACATTTAAGCATAAAGAAAATATCGCATTAATGTATTAGTAAAAAGAGATTCCAATTTTAACATAGCATTAAACATTTTGAGCTACTTATCTAATGAAATAGACAACTTGATGTTTCGACCTATTATGTTTCGTTTGTTCTTACTATGTCTCAAGTACACGTAAATTATGTAACTTTATTGAGTAAACATACTTGTGTACTAATATAAAATATTATGCCAACATTAAAAGAGGAAACTTCTTTGACTAAGAAATTATTGACGCCATTTAAAGGAACTGATCGCATACATATGGAAAGAGAAATGTATAAGATTCTTTATAAGATAGAAATGCTTTAGATTCATATTCAAAATACGCGGGAGATAAAATAAAATTATTAATTTACAGATTCGTCTATTTAAAGAATATTTACAAAATCTTGGAAAAGAAAAAAAAAGGACCGTGATCTCTTAAAAGGAGCAAGTCTTCTTTAATTTATACGACGGTAAAAACATAGATTAAACATGGACATCTATTATCATTTTCTTCAACTATCTTTATTGATTATTTAAAATGCTTTCTTCTGTAGTTTTGTTGATTTTTCATGGCCTTTTTTTGGTCTTTGCTTACCCGTGCCTTCAACAGTTTTGCAAATTGCCAAAATTCGATTAGAAAAGAATTGAATCTATCACCTTACTATGATTGCTCTACATTTGTATTTAGAAATTCGATCGATCACCTGACATCATCCTCCAAGCTCCGTCCGATGTCGTTCCGCCAATGGAGTTGCAGGAATCCAGATCTCGATCGATAGATGCCATCATCCAAAGCTCTTAGTTCCAATGCCGAAATGAAGGGCACTCCATTGCCCGTGTTCACCAAGCACACTCTTATATCGTCTGCTTGGGACACATACATGATTTCCTCAAAACCATAATTGAAGTAGTCCACTGTGGCCCAATAATTAACATCGATGTATAAGTCGAACGAAGGAGCCTGATACTTCCCATCATAGTTCCCATACCAAAATGTTGCCCTAATCAAGTAGGTTCCGTTCTTGCCTTGGTCTGGCCTTAAAGTGTAACAATTCCTCGTTCCATTAGGAAAGATCCTCACAGTCTTGAATAACTGTCGATTATTCCGATACGTGAGCATCCTAGATGTCTGCATAATCTTTCCAGAGCCTATCAATCCACCATCCGGTTTGTATGTTATGCCAAGTCCCTCCTCTGTGTATGCAAGAGTCGCCCCGCAATCGATGCTGATGAAACCTTGTAAGTTTGGAGAAAAGGAAAAGTCGATGAAATGGAACCGTGGGTTTTTCTAGTTTGACCATCGGAACAAGCTCAAATGAATCTTGATCATTTGACACAATTCCATACTACGGCATCTAGCACACTGGCGATTTGATGCCGGATCAAGTAACAATGAATATTAAGAAGACACCATTTCGTTTCATTAAAAGCTCAAAACCCATGGATCGCTATAGGCAATAACAACATTGTACGAAGAGAGAGAGAGAGAGAGAGAGAGAGAGAGAGAGAGAGAGAGAGAGAGAGAGAGAGAGAGAGAGAGAGGTACCTGGATTTTGTTGGGCTTGAACCACAAGGACGAGTGCTGAAGCTAAAGAAGCAAGCAACGCAAACGAGAAAGCTGTAATTGATCTCCCCATTGTCATGGAGCAGCGGAGATTGTCGGAGAGAGAAGCGCGAGGAAGATATGCATGAACGCCTGTGGTATCATATATTTTTCAAGACCTCTTATTTACCTCTGGTATCATATATATTTGTGTTTAACAAATGATAATTGTCAAAAATTAGTTTCTTCTTTTATTGAAAATTCTAAGAGGAAAAGTAACACACGATCCCGAATGGTGCTTGGTCGCCCACACATTAGTCTCATCTTGAATTTTCTTGGGTCTATAATTGAGACTGAGAGTCTACCACAACACGAGAAGACCAAGTCGTGCTGCTAGGCCTTCGTCCGCATATGGATCCAAGTCAATGTACAGCTTTTGATTGATGACAGATGGACCATTGGTAAATTCGAAAACGATGTATCATGTCACGTGCTAATTTCTTTTACACATCATCAAAAAAATAACCTTTGCTTAAGAAAATCTATTTGGTTATGTCTGGATAATCGGCGAAACAGTAAGTGGTACGGTGCTTTAAATAAGAATATAATTTCAAAAGAAATGTATTAGAAACATAAGATAAGTCCACTCAAGTCTGCCCACTCAATTATAGTCAATGTGTTCTACAAAGGTGATGTGCACGCCTGCCTTATGGTTCTATCGTGAGCTATCCATACACAGGACCCCACCCGCGATGCTTGTAATTGACTGGAGACGCGGCCACAGAACAAGAAGACCAAGACTTGCCGCTGAGTCGTCGTCTGCAAATGCATCAAAATTTTAAGTACCAAAATAGGCGTCAATAGGCACCTTTTATTACACGTATCATTATTACGGTACACCATGAAATTAACTTTTTTTTGCCCATGAAAATTACACGGTAAATTTTGAGATGAATTGTTTGCTAATGATAAAATGCTGATTGTGTAATTTCACTCTTAAAATTTTTTAGCTGTTGCCTAACCCGGAATTCCTATTTGGATATAAAATAAACTAAATTCTGTAGAAGACAAATTGGATTTGACTAGTACAGTCCTAAACCTTTTAATTGAGATATAAACATTTTCACTTTTTCCTAGCCATCTGGCCAACTTTAGCAAAAAATCGCTGACATGGACGCCGACCGTCCTACGAGAACGTGGTGAGGTCGGCGTTGACGTGGACAAATTTTAATAATTTATTAATATATTTTCGATTTTTTTTCCTTTTTTTCTTTTTCTTTTCTTTTCTCCTTCTTCCTCCATCGGTCACCTAGCCTCGGCGACCGGCTAGAGACTACTGCCGGCAAGGGTCGCCATCAGGCGAGGTCGAGCCTCGCCAGAGGCCAACGAGGGTTGGCCTCGTCGACCTCAGGCGAGGTCGCCCCAGCTTGGATCAGGAGAGGCCAACCCTCGTTGGCCTCTAGCGAGGCTCAACCTTGCCCGACGGCGACCCTCGCCGATTGTAGCCTTTGGCCGGTCACCGATTATTGTCGAGGCTGGGCAATAGGCGAAGGAAGAAGAAGGAGAAAAGAAAAAAGAAAAAAATTAATAAAAATTCTAAAAAATATTATTAAATATTATCCACATCAGCGCCGGCCGTGCTACGTGATGCGGTCGGCTTCCACGTCAACAAACTCCGGCCAAATTAGCTGAATGGATTCAATTGACAAACAGTAAAAAGGTTTAGGACTCAATTGGCAAAATTGTAAAGTTTAGGATTCAATTGACAAAAGTACAAAAAAATTATCTCTTTTTGGACAATTTTCCTGGGGAAAAAGTGTTGGCAAATAAATAGGAATTCCCAACTTTGCTCAATTGGATGTAAAAGGAAGAGGTATGCTTTTTGTTTATAGTGGAAATGGCGAAAAAAATTGTCGAACAAGAGTCCTCTCCATTAACGTTTGGCGAGAAAAGAATAGTCATTTTGACCTTTTTTGAAGGAATTCAACTCTCTTTTTTTTTCCATTCACAAAAAGTGTGCACATTTGCTAGTACTATTGATGTGAATACAATTTAAAAATTATTAAATATACTCATTCAATGCCAGTCCCTATTCCATTTCATTTCCACAATTTACCAAACAAAAATACTATTATGTCATACCATGCCATATCAAACAGAACATTACATACAATGGTACGTTAGTAAAGTACTTTCAATGCCGACGATTTTCCCAAAGGACGATTTCCGAAATGTCGTGATTGAAGTTTCCATGGAATATCTCGATCATTGGAAGAAAAGAAATATCAAGATTAAATTTGGGGAACAAAAGTCACCAATCTTATTGAGATCGTTATTTATTAATAAGCAGAGATTATTCAGGAGTTTCAAATAATCCGACATGGACTTCAATGGCATTTCGTGGAAGATATTTTGTCCCAAAAAGCAAATATACACATAAAAGAGCTCTCGCTTTCGAGACGCAGCTTCTTTTGGCCAAAAAAGCCTCAAGGCATCATGCCAAAGTTGAAGGTGGTAGAATAGTTAGTATTGATTTCACAAAATTTCTATCTGCAAAGTCCCACATTATCATAGTTCATTTACCCAAGTTATCATTAACTCAAGTCTTTAGCAAAATTGAGTCAAATGAATTAGGTAAAATGAGCACTTACTTTGAAATTTAAGAAACGATGTGCTTTGGAAGCGCTCATATTATTATTTCTTAATGATCCCTGAAAAGAGTGATTCATTGGATATCTATTCCTTGCATCAAGTACGCGCAATTTATATCGAATTGGATTCTAACAAAAGTCAAAAGAAGAGAGAATTTAAACTCTATCTCATATAAATACACAATTATACATGTTTTATATTCACGAGCACCATCAATATATTGCGGAAGCAAGCAATTGAACAATAAAATAGATAGAACAAGAAAATAAATTGGACATCAGATTTACGTAGTTCAGTCGTAGTGATCTACGTCCACGGGGAGAGCAGCAACGAATTCCACTACAGATCAAATGATATAACGGAAATTACAACTACACTCAAGTCACTCAAACCCTCTCAGTATTTTCCAACTCCCAATTACACCCAATAACTCACGCAGTATTTGACCCACAGTTTTTCACAAAATAATTACAAATCTTACTCACAAGATTTCACAGCTTTAACACTAGTCAGCTCGGATGTAATTTCACGAAATAAAAACTTCATCGCGCGAAGACCCACACTGCCACATTTCATCAAACAGTTACTGTGCAACAAGCACTCACATAAGTGGCGCTTCAAGACTTCCACAAGGTCTGCACCAACGAACACTGCGACAATCTGACCAAAGAGAACATATAATATATATAATATGAAGCCAAATTTGACCGAGTCATGGTCAAATACAAACTCACGCATTGGACTTTCTTGTTTTCGGTGGCCAACTCAGGAAAGTGGATTGGTCAACAAAGCCCAACTTGAACTATCCTTTTCTTGACCGTAATTTCAAGAACAATCAGGAAAGTGGATTCCGTAGACAATCTTGTACCCAATGAAAATTCAAGTAAGACTTCCATTCTTGATCGTGATTCCAACACGGATGCAATTCCCACATTATGTATTGTTCGGTTTCGAACGTCCGTAAAATATTCAATTTGGAATATTCAAACCTCCACAAATAACAATTAATCTCGCGTCGAGTTTCGTCTATTGAGCTCAAACTCGAGACATATTTTAACAATCTCCACATTGGCTCAATGTTTGAACCAAGTCGCAATCGCTTCGCTAAAAATCGAAATTTCGCTGTTACTCTCCCAAAGCTCCCGATGGGCTTAACCGCCACAAATATCTTCCAAGTCCAAGCCACACTTAAACTTCGCTATAATCGTGGACCTTATCAGAATACCAACTTCGTCTGCACATTTAACTACTCCACAAGGATTTTCCGACATAACTTTCTCAACCACCACAGATAAAATAAAACCATCGTTGCATACATATATGTCAAGAGATCAAATAGGTACCTTGTCAATATCAGCAGTTACAGCAAGTATTGGCTCTATGGGCTTCACCTCTCTATAAGCACCATCTGTGTCGACTACTTCGCTAGTAACCGCTACCTCAGGTCAAACTAAACACTATCTAGATCTGTGTAAATACTATCACTAACACTCCTATCTAGAAATACTGGAGACCCGTTAAATGTAACTTATCTATTGATAATATGTGAATTTAATTCCGGGTACCACAACTAATAACCCCAATGATATATATACATTTTGAGACTATCCCAGAAAGAAAAAAGACAATCCCTCATTTTAAATTTTCTCAATCTAACCCCTCAACATTTCAAAAATTTGCTATTTACCCAACGGTGTTAACTCCAACATTTTTTCTCGTCTGAACTCCAAGAACGTGCCGTGAGTTAATGCTGATTATCCCATCCATGGATAACAACCTTCGAATCACCTCCCCACAAACTCTACATGGAATTGCATGAACTGATATTGTGAATGGAGAAAGAAGCGAATAAGGATGAAAGGATATCGTTGTTAGACAGCGAGTTTGAAAGATTCAATGACAGAAAAGAAAAGGGAAATGGTGATCCCGAATTCAAGAAGAAAAAAACAGTACAAATTTGCGACACAAGTTAAATCTTCTGCCCAAAAAGAAGATTGCCTTTCTCGATTGGAAAAGTTCTGCTACCTTGGCGCAGGGGCACTGTCAAAATGGAGCTCCAAGGAGGTCATTTCAAAGGCACCACTTGATTCGCTCACTCTACTCTCCATTCTCCGACTTCTTCCAGATGCCAATTGCAATTCCAAAGACTCCTTCAACTCCGCCAATACATGATCTATGTCCAGCCTCTGAACCGCCATCGGTCGTGTGCAAGACACTGCAATCTCCACAACTTTCGAAGCCGAGTTGATGTTGAATTCTCCTTGTAACCTTGGGTCCATAATCCTATGTATATCGCCACTTTCAATGATAGGAGTCAACCATTGAACTATGTGCACGCAGTCGCTGCCATCCCGGCTTCTCATTATTGGAGGTTGGCCTGTGATTAACTCAAAGAGTACGATTCCGAAACTGTAAACATCACTCTTCTTGTTTAAGTTTCCTGAAGATTGAAACCTGGAAAGAGTAAAAAAAAACAAATAACGAATCTTTAAATCAAAGATGAAATCCTAGGCTACGTCAATACTTATATGCAAATTTAGATCCTGAACTGAACCAGAGCAGTAATATTGAGTATTAGCCATTACTCGGGGTCGAGGTAGCCAGGAGTGCCCGCAGGAAAAGTTGACACATAAGAGTCATTTTCAGCTGCAAAAGCTCTTGACAGGCCAAAATCAGCTATTTTGGCTCGGAAGTTCTCGTTCAACAAGATGTTCGTAGTCTTCAAGTCTCTGTGGATGATGGGCGGCTTGCAACCATTATGCAAATAATCCAAACCTAACATCCTCGCAAAAACCATGTCAACAATGCCAAAGCTGTGTTGTAAAACAACCTACAACTGTGGATATCTCATTCATTTACCTTGTGCTGCATCCACAGCTATTTGTAGTCTATCACTCCATGTTAAGACCTTCAGATGGTCCTCTGTTGGATGCGTCTTAACTTTACATATGAGCAAGAAAAGTTTTACAGGATTATTTTAGAGGAGAAATAATATAAAAGAACATAAAATACACACCTGATAAATGTTGCTTCAAATTTCCATAAGCCATGTATTCGTATATTAATGCCATGTGCTTCGAATCATCGCAATATCCAAACAGAGAAACCAAGTTTCCGTGGTGAACAATCCTTAAGAGTTGCACCTGCAGTATCAATAGCGTGCATTATTATAATGTATACTGGCAATAGTCCGAAGAAGAAGTTTCTGAACGAACATCTGCATAATTGTCAGCATAAGTTGATTACAAAAGGCGGAGTGATTGCACCATCCTATCTAACCTCAACTTGAAATTCCTTGAAACCTTGCTTTGATGAATCAGAGAGCATCTTCACCGCAACTACAGTGCCGTTATCAAGTGTACCATGATATACCTTTCCAAATCCACCTTCACCAATCACACGTCCAAAGTTCCCAGTGATTCTTGAGACCTCTCCATACTTGAAAGGTCGATTCTTAAATTTTAGCATCCTTTCACTATATTCTGTACCAAAAAGGTTCCATGAGTATTGCGACTACCATTGGATAGTAGACTTTTAAGGCAAATAACTCCAATTGTGTCCTCAACAATTATAAGACACAGGAAGGGTTTTTTTCCTCATCCCGTTTCAAGAGGACAAAAATCAAAAGATCTGGGCAGGGATTCTGTGTCACCTGCCTTCAATATGCTAACAAATAGACAATTTTTCTTTGCTCAATACATATAGATAAGCTTCAGATTGCACAATCAAACTTTTTTTTAGGGAGCATATATTAGAATATTAAGGACAGAGTTGTACTCTCAAGCTGTTATAAGTCCTTCCCATGCATAGCACGGTTACTTTTGAAAAATAAAATATCAGAAATTTTATCATCGATATGTTAAGCAATGCACATTCTCTTTGTGATGCTGATGCGACCATGCTATGGTGATCCCTGTCTCTCTCTTATCTCCATTTTCTTGCGATCACTATGTAATTCAGATTACTAGCATTGGGAAATTTTAATTAAAGCTTACTTTCCTTTATTACGGGACCAGTGTCAACTATTCTAAAAGCTTAAGTTTGTAAAAGCTTAAACTGTTAGATGAAGACGTCGTTTAATATTTAATTACTCTAACAAGGTATAACTGTACCAAGGAAAAGCAAAGTCAAGATTGTCCTCAAATGTAATGTAGATTGCGTGAACAGGACAAGTAAGAAAACTTACCTGCTGTTTGTTTCCGTTTAATTAACCAAATAATAGCCAAAGCACCAAAGAGAACTGCAAAGAAGCCTGAAACTGATGTGACAACTGGAACGAAGATGTTATTTTGTTTCTTCTTCTCCGGGCAAGGATCAGCTAGGCAAAGATCCGGGTTTCCTGTCAAGCTGCCACAAAGAATGAAGGAGCTGAACTTAAATTCCTATCTACAAATGCCCAGATTGATTTCCCCTATGCTGATCACAAGTCGGCCTTCTTATTTTCCTTTAATCACAATAAACAAAACATGTTGGTGGTCTTTCGACCCTATAAATGTTGTATACGACTCAACGAGAAAGAGAGAGAGAGAGAGAGAGAGAGAGAGAGAGAGAGAGAGAGAGAGAGAGAGCACCTCATTCTTAAAGTATTTTCCACAATCCTTTTTTTAAGAGCTTCAGGAACTGATCCAATCAGGTTGTTTCCACTTAAATTTCTGCATATATAGCTATGATTAGAGATTTGTCCACTTCAAATCCTTTGCTGCTTCACTTAGACAAATTAACTTACAGCAATCTAAGATTTGGTAATTCTGCTAGAGTTTCTGGTATTGCTCCTGTAAGCTGATTGTTGGAGAAATCTCTGGAAAAGAGCAAGTTTAGAGCACCTAATGACGAGTTAACCAGCTCCACAGACAAAAGCAGGATGTCTCCTAAACCACAACCTTAATCATTTAATCATGAGTTGACTCCCAGGGGGTGCTTAATCATGAGTGACGGGCATAGACAACTAATTCAACCATGGTGATACTTACAAGTCTTCCATCATTGATAGCTGTGAAAGTGATGAGACTATTTCTCCCGTCAAATTGCTAGAGCTCAGTTTCCTGAACATCATAGATCAAAAGAGAGGAACCTGTCATTGCAATCTTCATGAAGGCAGCAGTTTTTGGTGCTATAAAGAAAAGTTCGTGCAATCAATTCTTCAGAATTCAAACATTATAGGTCCTGGTATAGAGACCATTCATAATCGTCAGTTTCATTGCTTGCATGGGTCTCACTAACTCTTGTTGGCCCTAGAGTACATAAAATTTATTTTTGGAGGACCGAAGACTTGCTCATAGACAATGCATTTTGGAACACTTATGTCAAAAATTGGAAAAGTAGGCTATTGGTGAAAAAATTTGAACAAGCATGATAAATATACATCGGAGAAGAAGGGAGCATTTACTGTCAATCGATGAGTATATAACTTGTCATGACTTACCCCATCCTTATGGAACAACCACCAAAAAATATACTCAAGATGGTGACATTTTGGTGTGGCTGTCAACCTAAAGGTCAGTTTGTGAGTTCTCTCCAATAGTATGAGGCTTAGGGTGTCAAAAACTCCCTCTTTTAAAACATTCAAGTTCCCATCATGCCCCCATAGCTTAGCAGCACTCTCACCCCTCTCGACGTATGAATTGGTCCATTTCTGCCCCCCTTGGCAATCTTAGAAACCTTACGAGTGCCCTAGCAATTACTCTCTGCCCTCTTCAAGCCAAGCTGCAATATATAAAATTATATCCCAAAACCAGTACTCAAGACGAGTACTCTATTACCCTTTTGTGATAGGCCAAAAGTAAGCACCGGAGGGGGTCATATTCTGATAATGATTGGTTTTATTTCCTAGTCAAATCCATGTGGTGGAAGCCCAAAATGGCTTCTCAAGATCGTAACTTTTTGGGGCCGGTATCAAATTTTGACTCACTTCATGTGTTCTGTCCCACTTCATGGGAGACTTTGGGGGTGGGGTAACGTAATTACAATCGGGAAAATCTGACTCTAAGAACTTGACATAAGCATTACAAAGTTTCTCGATCTACCTGAGAATTCACACCGGAAGGTTGCCTTCATCCTACATGTTCTTTCTCATTGATGCATAAAACTTCCGGTTTTCATGACGAATGAGAATTATTCTCAAGTTTCACATAGAAAACCACGATTATCAAAGAAATAGTGCCAGTGGACTCACAATGATATAATCCTTGGAGGATTTCCATAGCTACAATTTAAACCATCCCATGTGTAGTTGCTTGGTACGCACGGATCACCTTGCCAGCTTTCTCTCTTAATGCGATACATTACTTTGATGTCATTGATAGCTTTCACTGTGGTTTATATAACAAAAAAGATCTATTACTTAAAGAAAAGAATAGAGATGTAAAACGTGGTTGCAATCATATATGAATTATACAGATCTTCAGCTCTTAAAAGACTTGTAACATTTCAGTGGCTTCAGCTTAAAGAGACATTCCAGCAATTACCAAGCAAAAAGTAGCCAGAGCAGGGAATTAAGCATATAGCAGAGTAATACCTTAGCCACATCTGTTGATCCCAACAAAGCAACTATTGCTCAGAGTTCATGAATAACATAAGACCCACCGTGGAGACTAGTATATTTAGCATAGGATTCCCTAAATCTTATTTATTGGCAATGGAACATCTGTCTAATTATTACTGATGTCAATTGTAGCACAACTGTACAAAGTGTATGTGGACAATAAAATATGTAGAAGAATGAAGGCATACCATCATCTTGTGCTGTGGGTACATTTGGAAGATCAGCAACGGTATAGAACTCCACAGCATTGAGGATCGGTGGATTTCCAGACTTATTCGTTGATTCAATTGAGATGGTGATGAGCGACCCGCTAACAGGAGTGGAAACTACAACCACTGGTTTTAAGTATTCAAGGCTCACCGTCATTGTGAATTGATTATCATTCATGGAAATTGTGAACTCCTTCTGCAGGCCATCCGTCAGTCTCTCAATCTCTGTGAAATAAAAGTACACAATCCATTTCTTTGTGGAGATCGAAGGTGTCCAATGTAAATAAATGGGAGAACTGGCATTCATTGATCTTTGAGCGGTCCTAAGAACTTCCCCAGGAACCTTGTACTTATACGCATCATTATCGTCAGATAAATCAATGGCAGATGTGGTGTTCAGTATGAAATAAGAAGTATAGTTTCGAGCGCGCCAGATCCGATCGTAAACATCGACAGGGTGCCTGTGTGCAGCATTTCAACAATAGTTTGAGAGCAAACAATTAAGCAATTGACTGAGCAACTAGCAAATGCCAATTCATATAGATATGCAAAAGGAATGTTGAACCTACTATATTCAACCCATTACTAGCTACTATATATAACAGAAGTCAATTGCCACGGACTTGGAACACGTTGTCTATACACACGATACATCAGTTTCATATAGTTCAATTTATGTAATTTAACAAATATTTTATCGGTTTGAAGCATTTTCTAGATGGAATCTTTTGTTTTGTTGTGTTTTTTTATTTTCAAGTTAAAAAGGTTTGGACGGAGTTGGGACCTACCTTATCTAGTGTTGGAATGTTTCCTAGAAGGAATATAAGAACATCAGATTAGCAATAAATATTAATCAAGTATTTTATGTCAAATGAGTATTACCACCAAACTTCAAAGATTGTTAAAAGTATCCCCTAAACATTAGTTAAGACCACTAAAATTAGTAAAAACATATACCGACATGCTTTAAAAATTGAAAAACAACATACTTCAAGAAAGTAGAATAGTTTGAATAGAAATAGTTATATTTTCAAAGTATCATAAACAACTTTTAACAAGTGTTCTGGAAACATTCTTTAATACACACATCGAGTTCTATCTTCACAAGTAGACATCGAGTTCTATTATACTAGATGTAATCCACGCTTTCCACGGTTTGTTGTTTATTTTTATAATAAAAAGTTATATAGACATTCAAGCATAAAAAGGTATTGGATTAATGTATAAATAATACGAGATTCTAATGTTCACATAACATTAATCATCTTGAGTAACTTATATAAGGAAATAGTCAAATGATGTTTTGACCTACTATATTTCATTTGTTCTTACTGTGTCTAAAGTACACGTAAATTATGTATTTCAATTCAGTAAGCGTATATGTATACATAATATAAAATATTATGTTCACTTTAAGGTAGGAAACTTCTTCGATACAAAAGAGGTACAATTAAAAAGAAATAATGAAGAGAGAGGACCAAAGAGGCAAGAGGGATAAATAGGTAGTAAAATGAGTGGAGGGTGCACGAAAAGCATTCATTCTAAGAAAAATGATCAATTACTTACAAATTAAAATTTTTATTATGTCTCAGCACACTTAATTTATGTATTTTAATTTAGTAAACATACTTGCATAGTAATAGAATATTATGTGAACATTAAGCTAGGAAACTTCTTTAAAACAAAAAAAGTATAATTAGAATAAAGAAATAACAAAAAGAGAAGAAGGGAGAGGGACAAGAGCAATAAATAGGTAGCAAAATGAGTGGAGAGTGTAAGAAAATTACTCTTTTCAATAAGAATGATCAATCCCTTACAAATTGGAATCTTATGCATCAACCTTAAGGGAACTCTTAGAAAGACACTGTTATCATATATTTACTAGCAAAAATGAACACTTATTGTGTGTATGCGAAATTGACATTTATAATATTGTGTAAAATCATCTTATTATAAAATATTTGAATTCTTAATAACTAATAGAAAGAAATTATTGACACCATTTAAAGAAATTATATGGAAAGAGGAAAAAGTTTCAACATTTGAACATTTTTATAAGATTGTTTACAAGATAGAAAACATTTAAATTTTAAATTCAAAATATGCGGGAGATAAAATAAAATTTTAAATTTATAGATCTATCTATAGAAAATACTTAATAAAATTTTGATGAAGAAAAAAGGGTTGTGATCCATTTAAATTATGTGATCTTGAAAGAAGCTAAACATTACAAAAATAAGTAGCTGGCAACCCATGTTATGGAAAAAAGTTCTTTTCAATTAAGAGATAATACATGTACAAATTACCCTAACTTACTTTATTAGATTAGTAAGTGACTAAATAATAAAAAATTAGAATCAAGCATGCCCAGTAGTACATATGTACGGAATATAATTACAATTGTTGACATGACAATCTACCAATAATAAGTGTATTTCGTCATATTACAGAAATTAAAATTTTATAATGCTTTAGTAAAGTTCGGAAATAAAATTTTATCTATCAATGTTGCCTTAATAATTGTTCCCCAACCACATCATCTGATGGTGAGTTTTATTTTTTTTTTAAAAACTATATGCAACTCAAAATCACTACATGACCTTACATTTATTTGATATCAATAAATTTTGTGAAAAAAAATGGACCATATTTTATAACACTAAGGTCATTTACAAATTGCAATGTTATTGTCAATTCTAATTTCAAATTTTTACTATAGTAAATGATTCGTATTAGCTTAATGAAATTTTATTTTTATAGCGAGGTTAAAAATAATCACCAACATACTAATATTTTCGCAACAACATTTTTTTTTCTTAAATTAATCAATGAGTTCTCTTGTTATGATGGATTAACTTAGGTTTTATGTGTGTCTGTGTGTGTGTGTGAAATTCTAAGTGTGATTTGGATTATATTTCAATATTTCAAATAATTGCACTCTATTTTTTTCCTGGACCTAATGGCTATTCTGTTTCTCTTTTCATTTTGTAAATCATTTATTGATTTTTTTTAATACTCTTAGACATCTGTGTGTTTTTTTTTGTTTTGTCTTGTGTACATGTTATTTATCCCAATTTAGTGGCCTTTTTGGTCTTTCTCACACTTACGTCTTGTTACCAATTTGGTTGGCCTTATTTTATTGGTTAAATTTGATACTCGTGCCTTCAATAGTTTGCAAAATGATAAAATCGCTAAAAAAAACGAATCTTTCTATACACTATGATTACCATACATTTGTATTTCAAAAATCAATTGATTACCTGATATCAGACTTCAAGCTTAATCCGATGTCGTTCCGCCATTTGAGTTGCAAGAATCTAGATCCCAATCGATAGATGTCATCACCAAGAGTTCTTAGTTCCAATGCTGAAATGAAGGGCACTCCCTTGCCAGTGTTCACAAGACATACTTGTATATCATTTGCCTGGGACACATACATGATTTCCTCGGAGAAATAAGCCGAAGAGCTCACCATGGCCCAATAATTAACATCAATATATAGGTCGAATGAAGGACTCTGATTCTTCCCATCATAGTTCCCATACCAAAATGATGCCCTAATCAGATAAGTGTTGTTCTTGCCTTGATCTGGCCTTAAAGTATAACAGTTCCTCGTTCCGTTGGGAAAACTCCTTAAATTCCTCATATACTGGTACTTATATTCATATATGACTTCCGTGGATACTTGCATGTTCTTCCCGGAGTCTATGAACCCTTCATCCGATGTGTACGTTACGTGGACAAAATTGTCAGGGTATTCATTAGGTGCCCCACAATCGATGTTGATAAAACCTAGCAAGTTTGGAGAAAAAATCAAAAAACTCAATGAAATGGAATGATAGTGTCTTCGTCGGACTATTGGAATGAGTAAATTTGATCATTCACCTTACGCGAGATCAAACAAGGATGAATGTAAATGATAGACCATTTTGTTTCGTTAGGAGGTCACAACTAATGGATGGCTATATACAATAAAATGGCCAATATTTCTTGACGTCATGGATGGGGACAGCAAACATTGTACGAAGCTTAAACCGCAAGACAGCAAATTATCATGCTGTGTTTGGGAGAAAGGGGAGAAGAAGTTTGCGGGAGAGAGAGAGAGAGATACCTGGATTTTGTTGGGCTTGAACCACAAGGACTAGTACTGAAGCAATGCAAGCAAAAGAGAAAGCTGTAATGGATCTTGCCATTGTGGTCGAAGAGTAGAGATTGTGGAAGAGAGCAGGGTGACGAAGATATGCATGCCCGCCTTATATTAATATCTCATGAGCTCTCGATACAATGATTTGACATCATCTTAATGGCTATTGGCCAGTATATTTCATTGGTAGTTGATTATTTTGTATCTTGATATCCAACTCTCCCTTGTACTGCGCTCTCCAAGTGTGCTTGACAATACATTGTATTAGGATCGACTCGGATTCAGGCGATTATTAGCCAAAGTCAATTTCTTCGTCCATTGATAATACTATGAGCATAGGGAGTAACACCCGACCCCATGTGGTGCTTGTTCGCCCATGCATTGCTCTCATCTTGAATATTCTTCACTTTATAGTTGACCGAGTCGTGGCTAGTGGCTACAGTACAAGAAGACCAAGACTTGCAGCTAGGTCTTCGTCAGCAAATGCATCAAAGTAAAATCGGATCATGCGCTATTCTTTTTAGAAAACACAGTGAAATTAACTGTTTTTTTTTTCCGCTAGAGGAATCGGCCGCGAAAAACCATTCTGTAAATTATGAGGAGGAGGAGTGATTAATAGAAGGAGGATGTGTTTGGGCTCACATTTTCAGCATTTGGCATGGCCAAAAATAATTGATTCACAAACAATGTTTCCGTGTTGGACATTTGTATCTCCAAAGTTCTCTTGCAACATTTGAATCATCTACAATGACCACCGAGCGAACCACCGCTATCAACAAATGTTCGAACTGGCCACCTTCGCTTGCCCTGCACCATCACCAAAGGCTAATTTTGTTATATGCACTAGCCAATTTCATTCATAAAAACAAAAAAAAAAAAGATTCACGTGAGGAAATTTATTTGGTTATGCATGGGCAACTCGAGAAACGAGAAGTCGTACATAGCTTTCAACGAAAATGATATATCAAAAGATTTCTATTAGAAATATTAAGAAGGACCTTCCATCGGTGACTTGCGAGCAAATTCACCCCAGCTTAATAATTAAATGCGAATAAGCAATGACTATATAGTTTAATGTGTTGTGGAAACGGTGACACGACAGTCAAATCTCTATCCTTGTTATTGTAAGTTGTCTGAATTACTAGATTTATTTATCCTCTATACTTAGATTGGTCCCCATCAACAATATTTCTTTATTCCCACCACACGCACACCCCCACCCCCCCCCTTCCCGCCCCGCCATGGTTGCTTTTTTGGGTAGGATTGCCATGTTTCTGACCCGGAGTCAATGCTGTTGAAACATTGAGATTCGGAGGGGGAAGCAAAGATGGTTGCCCCGCAATCGGTGCTTACCAAACCTTGAGATTCGAAAGGGGAATTAGAGTAATATAATGAGCAGCAATAGTCGATGGGATCCTGATTTTTTTTTCACTTTTCTTCAAATAATTATACAAAAAGAACAGTTCAATGTGTCTACCACGTGCTTGTTCTTTGGTGTGTGTGTGTGTGTGTGTTCTTCTTGTGACTTAGGAAACACATTAACAAAATGAGGAAAACATCTGTATTCCTATCACCAGCCAAAACAAAAGTCCCACGTAAAACAAATAAGAAGTCCCTCGAGATGTGGACACCTCATCACATTTGTTTTCTTCCCTTTTTCTGCTCTCTTTTCTTCTGATTTGCCCTTCCTCAAGAACAATTAATGTGACCTTAAAAGTTACGCATAGATTATTGATATCTTAAAAGTAAAAAATCACGACTCTTCCACTTAGTTAACGTTAAAAAACCCCAGAATGTTGACCAACGATTGCAGCCGCCAGTAAAATACGTCAGTAATTTATCGGCAAATTGATTAAGTTCGGTAACTGTAACGAGCATTCCCATTTCTCTGGGTCCAAAAGAGAGAGAAAGTTTCTTGCCAACATATATGTATAAATGAAGAAATCAGATGTAGCCCATGTTAAGATCCATCAAATGGGTGATCGGGTCGGGTAGAAAATGATCCGACCCAAATTGACCCATTTAACTCGTTTTGACTCATTTACATGCGATACAAATTTAGTAACTCATACCCGATCTGACCCATATTGCTAAAACATTTTCATATTCAACCCAATATAGAAAAACTCATACTCAAACTGAGGTTAGAGCGCGGAGCGAGCAAGCGCAAGATTGAGTAAGGGCGAGAGAAAAAAAGAGTCAATTGAGAGTCATAGAGGTGGATTAAATCTAACTAAGTTGCGAACCCATTTAACACTCATATTAGTTTAGATTATACCATTCTAAATCCATTTATGATCTATTTACTGAATATAATTAACCTATACAATAACTTGGCCCATCAAATATGCATTAAGAATTAGATTTATTACCCATTTTGACAAATCTAGTTAATTTGATCTCTATACTAGTACCAAAGATCTGTAGTGGTAGGAATGGGAGAAGTCCACATTGGACATACGTTTTAATAAAAGTTAGCTATTCGGTTAAATTTGGTCTGGTTGCGTATAAATGATAGCTTTAGACCTAGGCTATCTCTTGTTGGAGGTTTTACAACAATTAGCGTTGATTCCACAAAATTTCTATATGCAATAGTCCCACATTATCAGAATCAAAATTAAGTTGCTCATTTACCCAAGATATCATTAACTCAAGTCTTTGAGTGAAATTGAGTCCAATTAATAGGTGAAACGAGTAATTATTTTAAAATTTTAAGGAATGACGTATTTTGGAGTGCATTTGAAAGTTCATACGCTCGCATTATTATTTCTAAATGGTCCCTGGTATGAGTGGTTCATTCGGTATCTATTCCTTGCACCAAGTACTCATAAATTGTATCATATGGGATTCTAACAAAAAGTAAAGAGAAGAGAGAATTTAATTTCTACTTCATATATACACAATTATACATGTCTTTCTACGCATTCTACATATTTCCTATTCATGAGCATAACCAATCATTGTCAAATTTTCCTATGTATGAAGTTAAACCCGCAGAAAAAAGAAGAGAAAAACCCTAGATAATGTATGCAGACACGGTACCCCATTGATAATGTGCTTCCTTGTGGAGAAGACTACTCATGATCACAATGCACAACTTTTTGTGACTGAACATTCTTTTGAAGTTAATCTTGTCTTGGTCTTGAGCTTGGTTTAGTTAATCTTCACATGAAGTAGATAGGGAGGATTGTCTCTCTCGTAAATGCCTAATAAACTAATGTAAGAATTGTCTAGCAAAGGCTCTGTGGTGCGGCCATTTCATTGTAAGTAATCTAAATCTGACGAGGTGGGAAAGGGTGCATAGCTAGTACGTGATGACATAGGGAAAATACCACCAAAAATTTCAAAATATGCCACTTGTGATAAATTTACCCTGAACTTTTTTTTTGTGACACAAAAAGTTTCAAAATATGTCACTTGTGACAAATTTACCCTGAACTTTTTTTTGTGACACGAAAAATTTCAAAATATGCCACTTGTGACACATTTACCCCACAATACTTTGGCCCATGGGCATCTTCGTCCTTTTCCTTTTTTAGTTTTTTTTCCTTTTTTTTTTCTCTGGCAGAGGGAAGCCGGCAAGGGCAGCCTTGCCCAACGCCGGTGAGGGCAGCCCTCGCCTGAGTCGGGCGACGGCCGCCCTCGCTCGACACCGGATCTGGCGAGGGTCGCCCTCGCCTGAGCGGGCGAGGGCAGCCTCGCCCGATGCCGGCGAGGGTCGCCCTCGCCAGATCCGGCGTCGGACGAGGACGTCCCTCACCGGATTTGGCGAGAGCCGCCCTCACCCGACTCAGGCGAGGGCTGCCCTCGCTTGATCTAGCGAGGGCGACCCTCGCCGACGTTGGGCAACCCTCGCCGACGTCGGGCGAGGCTGCCCTTGCCCGCCCAGGCGAGGTTGCCCCTCGCCCGACATCGGCGAGGGTCGCCCTTGCCGGATCAGGCGAAGGCAGCCCTCGCCGGCTTCCCTCCGCCATGGCAGGCGGAGGGACGAGAGAGAAGAAAAAAAAAGGAAAAAAAATAGAAAAAGGAAAAATATGAAAATGCCTATGGGCCAAAATATTGTGAGGTAAATGTGTCACAAGTGATATAGTTTGGGGTTTTTCGTGTTACAAAAAAAAGTTCAGAGTAAATTTATCACAAGTGACATAGTTTGAGATTTTTGGTGGTATTTTCCCAAATATTAATCATGTATTTTATGTCAAATGAACATTACCACCAAACTTCAAAGATATATATGTACCATCAACATGTATCTGATAGACACTAGTTAAGACTGCTAAAATTAGTAAAAACACATACCGACATATTTGAAAAATTGAAAAACAACGTACTTCAAATGATAAGTAGGCATCGAGTTCTATTATACTAGAAGTTATCCACACTTTCCGCCGTTTGTTGTACATTTTTATAATAAAAAGTTTAATAGACATTCGAGCATAATAAAGTATTGTGTTGACATGTTAATAATATGATATTCTAATGTTGACATAACATTTATTATT